ATGTATGTATGTATGTATGTATGTATGTATGTATGTATGTATGGATGCTGTCGAGTCCCAAAATCCATAGCCAGGGCATAGTGGGACTCCCCGCCCCTCGGTCGATGTCACGTTAAATGGGTGTCGAGGCGAAACAGATTGCAATATTCGTTGTAGGACCCAAACAAAGTCAGCTTATCATCGAGTGATGAGGCGGTATTTTTCTCCCATTCTTTTATTCTCTGTTGTTCTTTTTGCTGCTGTGATCCTTATCCAAACTTTCTACCTCAAGAGGCTGAAAAATGTTGCTATTTTTGCAGTTAATAAGGTTTTTTGCTAACTTATGCTTAAGAGAGGATGAAATTTCGGTTACCGTAGTAAGCTATTCACACCAGGACCCACACGCACCAATGATGCACACTGTACAGCCCGTTCAAACGCCCCATTTTTGTTCAATTTTCTGGTCTCATTCTCCACTTTTTAACGATTTTTTGAAGCCTTTCCACTTTGGAAACACCGATCAACGCAGTTTCTTCGCCTTCATAGCACTATTTTCAACCTTCAACCTTCCATTTTTCGTAATAATCTGAATTACTAGAAATTATCGTGAACTGCGCCATTAAAGAGGCGAGGCATACGCAAAAATCGTCAAATTGAAGCTAGAGATTGGAGATTCGATAGGTGTAAAGGCAGCAGTACGGGAATGCTGATGGCAGGTGAGACGACTGAAGAAAAAAGAAGCGGGGAATGGACAAACTGCCTAAACACACACGAATAGGGCAGAATTCTGTTCATGACGAGCAAGGCGTCCACGGAGTAAGTTGGATGTGTTCGGTTAGAAAGTCATAATTCCTTCTCCTGCACCAGGGTGTCCAAATTTGGGAGAGGCCTGAGATAGCCCGGCGTATGCTGGGCGATCCGACTGGTGAAACAAAATGCTACCCACAGGAGCTAGTCCACAATTTCTACGGGGATTGGAATACTAAGATATTTGTGCACAATACTCGGAGGAATATTCAACGATTCAGCTATGTTGACGATTGTTGGCGCAGAGGCCGAAACGTAAACTCAAGAAAGTACGGTAAGGCTCAGTCTATATGAACCAATGCAAAGATGAAGGGGTTAAGAAAGCCACGAACTGTTCTTATTAAGTCTCACAAGGTTGGCGATTTGTGGGCAAAACTCCAGTCTCGGACAGGACTCGAACCCGTACTTGTCCTTTCCGGGGACCGTGCTCTTATCCCTTACACTACCGAGACCCCGCTTTCGCCTTCTTAATGGCTTATATGCCATAGCTTTTCAGCACTCACACGTACAACGTGTTGAGCCGGTCGGCCGATATCAGCACAGAACCTGTTCTTATTAATTTGTCATGTGCACTAGTATTAATATCCATTTATTGCTATTTATTATTAATATTATTTGCTCACTTGTTATTACTTCATTTCATGTCCGATAAGATTTGTCACTTGAAATTGTTCACTTTTATTTGGAATTATTCGTCGGTAAGTCATCCATATAAATTATACATATGACTTGTTACTGTTTTTTGATGTTCATCACAGATCGCTATTCAATATCACCTATTGTTATAATTACCATTATAATATTGCTATATTTATATTATTACTATTACTAAAAATTTTCTGATTGCGATGTGATTATAATTACGATTATGACTGGTCATAATCACAATTATTGCTGTTGTGTATATTACTACCATTATTATTAATACTACCACTATTATTGACGTTATCATTTTTGTTATTATTATATTAATGTTAATGCTATCATCGTTGGTACTACTGATATCACTATCTGTTATTAACACTATTTATTTTAAAGATATTATACACTTTCCGCAACGTGAATAAATTCAATTATACCTGAAGTATATCACCAGTTTTGAAAGGAACACCTGCTTCTGGGCATGGGATCAAGTCGTCCTTGAAAGGATCGTAATCAAATTGAGCGCGAACGAAAATTTCGCAAGGTGGTGGTGCAGATCGGTATGAAGGCACAATTTTGAACGTCACCTGAACTATGTTTCCTTGTTTTTTCCGGAGTGATTTGTGAACGAAGTGGCGAGATTGTCAAAGAAAGTACCAAACCTGTCCACGAGCGTCTTTAAGCATCTGCTGCAACGAATCGATTGAGCGGTTTGCAACACACACACCACCAATCTCCCGAATCTCATCACCAACATGTAATGTTGCTGAAAGGTAAAGAATCTTCTCGAATACTGTGCAGCGTTCCTTGTCTAGAATAAAGTCTCGAAGAGAGCTTGCAATTCTTCATACAGCTTCTTTAGATCTCTTTGAAGTTCTTCGAAAAAGCATACGACCATATGTGGTGCTACAGTTCCTAATGAGGAAACTAGTCTGAACTGTCAGCAGAGAGTTCGCTCGTCTATGCACTGCAAGCATACAAGGTACTCAATCGATGATCTCTTTTTCTCAGTCTACTCTTCAAGGAAAACAAGCAGCGCAGAAGGCTTCCAACGCGAAATCAGGAGAGGTTCTTATTACACGCAAAGCTACTCCTTCTATGAGTCTGTCCTGTTGGTGAAATTGAAGGAAGTACTAGCTAATATTGGCACCGGAGCAGCTGGAGCAATTTATTTTTGATGCATCCTCCTTAGTTCAGTGTAATCTGGCGATGAATATACGTATTCTCACAGGTGACACTAACAGAGAAACTCTCGTCGAGGTGGTTGTTTGGGATAGGACTTATTCCACTAGACCCGTTTTTTGATGCTGATCCCGAATCTGCTTTCCGAATTAGCAAAACATTGCTCAGAATGAATGTATGAACATGTGAGGGTTTAGAATACTATGTTGGACACCTAAGAATGACGCACGATAGCTCCAAGTGGAACCTCGGAGAAACAGTGGGGAAGCGTCAGCGCAAATTCCGCTGAGTCGCATGCGAACTGCTCTTGTTAGTGTTGTGACTTGGTTCTATCGACGACATTTTCTGCCATTACCTTGGTATGAGAGAGATTTCTCTGGATTAAATCCCTCCATTTCTCTTTCGGGGAACAACGCAGCCGCTCTTTTTCAGCTCCATTGTTTCTCGTGTCAGGTCATTCTCTGGTCTTCTCAGCAAGCGTCCATAATTCGCAAGCGTTGCGTTGTTCACCCTTTTTTAGCAGGACAGGAAGTGCTTGCCTGACCACTTTGGTGCTTTCATTTCTAAACATGCCACAATTCGCACCCAGCCTGCCCCGGGTCCATCTGACATACTGGTTCCTGCGAAAAGTATTTGTTCCTCATGCTTCTTATTTATGGATCAACACACGCTACCGTGGAGCATCGTAGTCTCAGCACTGTCCGGTATACCTCTCACATGAACGTCCAGCATCACCGATCGCGGTGAATTCCATGACTTCTTCCATTCCGTTCATGTCATACTTATTCGAACTTTTACCGCCTGATCCATCTCCCTTCAGCTGCTGAATCACTCTCCAGTTACAGGAAAACCTGTAATATTTTGATGTCCTTACTCTACGTAACGCGCTCGCGTCTGTCTTTTTCCTTTTTGTACGTCAATTCGACATTGCTTGAAGAAGCACCTGAAGTAGTCGAGTCAAGGGTGGGATGGGTTGGGCGTAGGGCAGTACCAAAGTACATGTGAGCTCAGAGGAGCTGCACCCACAAGGGCTGAGCATGCTTAGGAGTGCGCGGTGTCTGAGGCGAAACGTCTGAATCAGGTTTCATAACAGTCCTGACGCCGGAAAAATGGTTAAATATGAGGTATTGGTCAAAAACGGACCGAACAAGACTAACCATTGGTGGGCGGAGCATCCCCATAATGGGCGGTAGTATTCCCATAAGTTTAAGTGGAAGTCACTTTTGGAACATGTATAATTCTTTTAGAAAACTTTTAGAACGCGGAAAAAGGTCAAATATAATGGAAGAAATGTGGTCATATCCTCGAAGTGGACGGGGCCAAGAGCAAAACTTTCAACTCGGTTCAGTAATGTTCTATAGCGAGGAAAAAGTGATCAGAGTATGGGAGATGTGGTCAGATACACTAAGTACGCGGTTGCACTGTTATAGGCGGGCTGAGATTGAAAATTCTCAACTATGTTCGAAAACGTTCTGGAGCGTGTGAAAAAAGTGGTTGGATGTAATTGAAGAAACGTGGTCAAACCCTCAGGTGGGCGGGGTTCGTAGTAAGCTAGGCGAGGCTGATATAAAAATTCCTTGATTCTCTTCAACGCCGTTCTAGAGCGCGGCAGAATAGTGATCAGAGGAATTAGAACAATTGTGGTCAAATCTTCAAGGTGGGCGGGCTTCGCACTATGGTAGGCGAGCCTGAAATCACAAAACGCAAGAAGCTTCATAACAGACTCCATCGATGCTCTTGAATGATGTCATGAACTTCGATTGTTCTTGCTCGTTATGTGTGCAAACTTATATATGATCTCACTGTCATTCTCGCCCATGATCTTAAGAATTCCTATATTATATATTGTACCAGTCAGATCGCCCTGGCTGACGCCAGGCTTCCCTACTTCCTACGACAGGGTTGTAATAATCGGCTGCCCGGCCTCTCTTTTTGGAAAAAATCATACTTTTTCGAACAAGAAATTTGGTGCAGGAATAATAGGTTGTGCAAGTGGTATTGGTTAGTGGTAACGTTCCGCAGCTTATGCATATGTCCAAACGTTTTGATCTGTTGCTCTTCATCTATGGAATAATAACCCATCAAAGATTTACTTTCTATTAAGCAACCAAAGCCTTGAGTGGTACTCACAAATGTTGCCGAGTGATAACACCATTATCAAATGACGTTATTAGTGAAACCTCTTTTCTGCAAGGATATATCATATATTGGCATCACAGATTTTTGGCGGTGGGATACATTTTGTTGCAAATGATATTGAAACAATGGGAAACAGTGACACTTCATTGAATCTCAAATTTTACTGGGTAGCGGTAGCAATCGGGCAGAGGGATAGATTAAATTTTCACCTCCTCCAATGTAGTGAATTTGATCGCTCTTACCACTGCCGTGCCTGCTTTTCTTGTCTTATCGAATAAAACATATCAAAGACTCAGAGCTGGATCAATACAAAGGAATTAGAATTTGATTGATGAGTGGCTCGTATATTCTGAGGCTCCTTATTAGCTCTTATCAGTTGTGATCGCTTCCTGCCACAGAGACCCCGTCACACACCGCCCTACATCACCTATTGCATTGCTCTGGTTAATCTGTTAACACAAAGGGGGTTACAGACCTAAAAGCTGTAGCCTTCTATGGCCCTTTATCAGCCCTTTTCACTTGGTATCAGTACTTGTCATCAATCAACTACGGCTCCTTCACATCCCCACACCACTACTGAAGTGCCGTACCTCCACTGCTAATACAAGGATATTTTATACCTAGTGGTTCTCGCCTTTTATGGCTTACCATTACTAACTTTTATCACCTAACATCTACGGTCCCCTCTTAGCCCACATCTCCTAAGGCGCTAAGGTTTCACTTTTGGCTCCTTCTAGTGCTCCTTTGAAGCTCCTATCAGTCATTATCATTTCCTATCATACACCATCAGACCAGTTCCCATCGTGCAGCCTGTATCCCTTCCGAATTTGAATGCTTCTGGTCCAGGAAGACAGGAGTTATGAATTCATGGTCAAATGCACGCACCGTCGCTCCAACCGTTGTGCAAGATGGCTCCAGCTCCTGCCGCTCCACACCCTTTAAGCATCCAACAGTGGAACGTGCAAAAACAGCCACAGCAATTATGCCCTCATAGGCGCTACAGATGTTTCTTAATATACATAGCATTTTTCCGCCTACGACTGTGTATAACTGTTTTGGGTCACTTGCAGAGCTTTCCAAGACAGATAATTGAGATCACCTTTTCTTTTGCAAGTGCTGAAAATTTTTGAAATTACTTCCACATATCTTTTCCAATAATAGTTTTCTCTTAAGTAATTAGCGAACCTTGCGACCCGATAGGAGATTATATCACGAAACAAAAACCACCGGTACTTAAACAGATGCAAGTGGAGTGAGAGGAAGGAATAAATGTTTGCGCTACTTAGGTCAATTTACACATTCTGTCGCCTCGCAGGTGTGTTTATACACACGTGTGCGCGGTTGGTACACTGCACATCCGCTCAGCCAAAGGCTTGTATTCGAATGAATGGGAATTACTCAAAGGTGGTTCGGGATCTTCTCTTATAATTCCATTTATGTATATGAACACTCACTATCAGCACTCACAAGACCACTACGATGGTGAATGGCTGGATGTTGCACAGCAGCCGAAGATTCTATGAAGATTACACCAATGAATTAGACGTTCAACGTTTTATTTATTAGGCAGATTAAAGTTTTGCGAATCGGAGGCATAGGCTTGTAATTCTCACTAGAGGATAACGTTAAATTAGACTGGCTTTGTGAAACAGGTCGGATCGCCCGGCTAACGCCGAAATCCCCTCCTTCTCGTGTTGGAGTTCACATACCACCTGCAATCTTCCGAGTTCGAAAGCTCTGGTCCAAGGGAACAGCGGTTATTGATTCCAGCAAAACACACAAACACCGACACAGTGCGGGCGCGTCTCACAAGTCATGAGAGAAGTCGCGCTCGAGTCCTGCATATTTAGGTAAGCTGATTTATATCCCACTTACCCCAATTTGACTACGCATTTTTACTGAGATTTTGCCCATTTAACTCCACCTGCTCCATCCTCCTCGCCCTCCGCGGGCGTGATACAGTCTAGTCGCTTTCTCCCACATACCATCAATGTCTTAACTCTGTCGAGTGTACTACTACCAAACTTCACGCCCCAGATCCGACCTAAGAATTCTCACGCACGACCCGCCTCCTTTGGGCAGAGTTCAGCCGTGCCGTTCAATATCAGTATTTCTATCGTGCCATTTGTACCACTATCAAGCTTGAACGCTCTGGTTGCGCTGAGACACAATCCATGAATTTTCCTCAAGACACAAAGTTTTTGTACACACACCGCCCCTTGTGAGTGGGGTGAGTGGGGTCTAGTCTTACCAACTGTTATAAGTGCTCCCATCATGCCACCTGTACTCCTGCTAAGTTTGTAGACCCTAAGGCCGAATTGACAATTCCTGCGCAAGACCCGCCCATTGGGGACGGGGTCCAGTTATGCCAACTACCATCAGTATTATCATCCTGCCCTACCGCCCTTATCCTTACCAATGTCAAACACTCACTGTAACGGGAATCATGAATTTACCCTGAGACCCAAATTTGCGCAGACCCTACCCCCGTATGTGGAGTCAAGTCGCACAACATGCCATGTGTGTTCCCATCCTGCGGCGTGTAATCCTACCAAATTTGAACGCTCTGGATACACCGCTACGGGAGTTATGAACTTGCCCTAAGACACATATTTCGCGCACGCCCCCTCCCCCTTGTCGGCGGAGTCTGGTCCTGCTATCCACAATAAGTGTCTCCCTGCTGCCTGTGCTCCTGTCAAACTTGAACCATCTAGTTCCACAAGAACGGGAGTTGCGAATTTCCGGTCGAAACACACACAAACACAAACACATAATTTACCAACACGCACACTTAGCGCATTACATATATATACATATATATGTATGTATATATATACATATATTGGGTTGTCCGGAAAGTTCCCGCCGATTCTCGATTCATCTTTGAATGAAAATTCCTAGAAGAAGAAATCCATTGATTGAACAATATATCCTCCATTCTCTTCAGTAAGGATTCGCCATCTTCCTGTAGGTTCCAGTTCCCCTCTTCCATGGAAAGTTCCAGGCTTAAAATCGAAAAACCCACTCAGGTGCTTTTTGCAGTCCTCCAGCGAGTTGAACGATTTTCCATTCAAGGAATTTTGCAGAAACCCAAACAAGTGGTGTTCCGACGGTGCTATGTCTGGACTATATGGGGGGTGTGGTAAGACATCCCACCCGAGCTTTAACAACTTTTGGCGAGTGGCCAAAAATACGTGTGGTCTGGAGGTACCCTGTTGGAAGATTACGCCCTCACAATTAGCCACTTCGGGTCGCTTTTGGTCTATCGCTGCCTCCATATTTTCTAGCTAACTGAAGTACCTTCCCTAAGTAATTTTTTGATTGCGCGACAACAGCTCATGGCAAGTGATTTCCCTGAAATCCCATCAGCAACTCGGCATAGTCATCCGCACCTGGATTTTGACTTTTGCAGCGGTTTGTGACGGCTCACTAGCGGGCTACACGATCGTTTCCGCTCCTCATTGCTGTACACAACCAGATTTTCGTCCCTCGTGCTCATGGTTTCAGAAACGGCTCATTTTTATTTCGTCCGAGCAACGAGTAGCGCATGGAGGCGCGGTCCATCGCATTGCGCTCGCTCCTTTCGCGAGATATCTGAACATCAAGGCGCTTTACAAAACCAAGCTTTGCAAATGACCATGGATGGTTAATTTCGAAACATTAGGCCCTTGTCCTACTTCACAGGTGGTGATGTGCCGATTCGCTTCGGTTCATATTTTGATTTGGTCGTTTTAAGGGATGATGGCCTCTCTGAAGGTTGTCGGTCTTCGAGGGTAAATTCACTCCGATTGGAATTNGCAAACTAGTCATGCACTGTACATTCCTCTAGTGCATAGTCTACTAAAACGTCACATATCTTTCATGCGGCTTGAACCGCATTCTAGGCCTTGCGGTAGAAGAAATACTTCAGATGTCGAAAATGCGCGCAGTGGTTCTCCATCTTCATACGGGTCCTGTACAAAAGAACTTCGACTAATGTTGAGGGAATTCCAACAAAATATAGAGGAGGACCAACTCTTTCAGAAAACATATAACATTATTAGGTTGGGTCCTTGATCTTTTGTACAACGGTTGATAAATCCGGGGTGTCAAAAATCGGCGGAAACTTCTCGGACAACCCAATATATATATAACTATGCGAACTATGTAGCTACTTCCAGCGTATGTCTTTCTATGAAACTCGGCATAACAGTACTACTGATTTTTTTTGGGCTCTTCACGAGTCTTGTGAATAAGCTTCATTAATCTGACGTTTCGGCGGAATCGCCTTCTTACCTGAAAGAATCATAACGATCTGTGACTGTCAAACGCTTTCACGAACCCACTAAACAGGTGGTGATCGGAGGAAGAATCACTCACCCCAACTTTGTGAATTCTTCAAGACCACCCAGTAAGCCGGCTCTTTCTTACTGCAGGTTTATGGATGAATGATTCATAGTGAACAAGTGATGGTACAAATCGGCCAGTGTCAGCTAGGGTATGTCCTTATTCAACGTCTCTACGGGAAGGCGGATCACATATAAGGCCGTAGCTCCCACATAATTGCGAGACATTCTTCCCTGCGATTCACTTTGAGATTGGTGGCCTATATCCAAAATACCTCGAGTGCTTTACGCGCACACGATCGCGAGTACTGTGCCATGACCTTCACAGTGACCTCAGAAACGCCCTCATTATGCCTTCGAATTCGGTGATTCCCTAAGGCAGAAGACTCCTTCAATCGCTTCATATCATCTATGTGCTCCTTGATCCTCGCTGGAGTGGTCTTACCGTTTTGCCAAAATAGTCATGGTATAGCCTCTTCCGAACCAGACGCTTCTTCAGATTGAAGGGTAGTACGTTTACAATAGCAACTTTATTTTCAAGACCTGAATTCTTCAGACTATTTCTTATGTAGGCACCGACCTCATAAGAAATAAATGATCGGGTGGAAGGAGTCTTTCCTTTAATCGAGGTACTACCATGTCTGAGGATCACATCGCTAGAAGCTCTATGTGTAGTTGACGAATTGCAGTAGCCATTCGACCTAGCTATATCGCGGGCCTTTTTAAGCGACTCTCTTTGCTCATCCTCTCCAGTGCAAACCCTAGCAGCGCAGAACATATTCCTAACTCCTCTGGTTCTATGCAAAACGAATGAGCTGAGTGATAATGGACGAGATGTTCTTATTCCTGGGCTTTATGTACCACTTCGTAACAATCATATCACCCTGTAACCTTAATTGATCGTTGAAAAAGGAAGCCAATATCCGGTTGGTTTCTCCGTGTCAACTTGATGTGCTCTGATTGTGAGTTTAATAGGACGAAACACACATCTATTTGTTCCTTTGTCGCACAGACTTTAAGAAAATAAGCCAATTTCCGGTCGGTTTTAAAGAATCCATAAAGCCACAGTAAGTGGTTTCTTTTTGAACCTGCGTGCTCTAGAGATCACGATCTTTAATGGGTTGGTGGCGACGATTGATCGGATAGTCACGAATTGTTAGATCGCTTCAGGCTCAAAAAGAGGCGATTTCGCAGAGACGCCTTACTTGTAAACCTCGTGAAGAGTTAAAAAAAACTATAAACTCAGTAACACTTTGTGGCTACTGCTCTTGTCAAGAAGGTGTGATCATGTTTTTAGTAGCTACTGCAGTTAGATGTACTTAGTATATTTGAAGGCACAGATCACGATGAAAATGGTTTCTGAATTTTCCCCCTAGGAGCACCCAGTGGCCCCCAACGGAAAGAACACTGTCGGATCCCGAAACCCAACAGCACGGACATAGTGGGAGCCCCATTACCTGATCGCCCGGATGCCTCGCCCTCAACCGATGATGTGTCAAACAAGTTTCGAGGAATACAGATTGTAGTAATCACGTCAAGACCTACACATCCAGCACGCAATCAGCTGAGCGCTTAGTGATGTGACGATGTTTTTCTCCTTTTCTATTACTTGTTTCTATTTCTGTTACTGTTTTTGCTGCTGCGATCCTTATTCTAATTTTCTACCTCAAGATGTGAAAAAGGTGGGCAATTTTTGCTGGTACTAGGGTTTTTTGTTATTTTATGCTTATGGTAAATGATATTTAGCTTACAGTAGTCAGCTATTCGTACCAGAACCCACACGTTCGCAATGACACACATTGTATAGCTCGTCCAAATGCCCCATTCTTCTTCAGTTTTCTGGTCTCATTTTCGTCCAGCCCTGTTTTTAACGATATTTTCGAAGTCTTTTTCGCTTTGAAAACACTGATTCACATTCTTTCTTCACCTTCATCCCACTATTTTCCATATCTTCAATTTTTCGTCATTATCTGGATTACCGAAAATTATCGTGAACTATGCCTTTAATGACCAGATGGATTGCCGGCTAACACCGTGCACCCCCCCCCCTTTCCTTTCGTGTAAAAATACCTTGTCTCCCACGTCTCTTCCAAATACAAACGCTATGATTTAGCAGTGCAGGAGGTATGAGTTTCCGGCAAAATCCATACCCCGACACACTTTGTGAGCACCCCATCTCATGATCCCTGAACTAATGTGCTTCAGTAACTTAGACTATTGTAATATAGATGAGTAAAAAGATTATTCCGAGTGGCCCTACGAAATAATCTAGAATGATCCCTTCCTAGATTATTTCGTAGGGCCACTCGGAAGGATTCCGTTATGAGTTATGGTATACCGTTTCCTGTACTTTAGGGAATATTTAAGCATTCCCTTGTAGGTGTTTCGCTGATATGACTTCAACCTTGAACTGTCGACCGAAGCAGTTTGAGAGCTTTCGTCTACCACAAATTTTTGCAAGGCATAAATATCGACGACTGTCGCAAATATCAGTAGCGCACTCAGAGGAGAAGACATCGTATCTCAACTCACGGGTGCCTCATGACGAAGCATCGTCAAGACAGCAGAGAAGTGGATTACATTCGAGGTTGCTGTAATGTTGGTGGGATTTTCAGAGAGCGCTTTACTCTGGATACCTTCGTAAGGGTTCCATCGCACCGCAATCGCCGATATTCACGCTATTCAGCTACAGAGTTTGGCTGGCGTTATTCGAAAAAAGCGTCCGCAGCGATGAAATGTTTGTCTTCCCCCACAACAGCGCTCGCATGTTACAAAACTGTCGTCTCAGAAGATTGCCGAACATAAATGAGAAGTGCTGCACCATCCTCCTTATTCTTGATCTGTCTAATCACCATTTTTTCCTTGTCTGACACATCAACTCCATGATAGAAAAATTGATTCGAAAAACTGCCGAATTCTTGGATATATG